CAGATGTCGTTCAGTGTGCGATGACTCGGCATCGGGAACCTCTCTTTGTCAGTAATTGTATGTGGGCGCTTTACTTCAAGCCGACTGTCTTTATTACCTTGTCCACTAGTATGGCCTTTGCGAATGATACCATTCGATTATGTTCTCAATTACTTTATGTCTGCCTATTATCAGTGTAATGAAAACACTTGCCTTTATTGCTTATACCAAATTGGATCGGTCATTTATAAAATATTTGACGCTTTTGGTCCCGTCTCGGCGTACCCCATGGACATGCTATAAAGTAGTCTACGTTCTGCTTACGTGAGCTCGCTCATTCGTAACCCGAACGAAGGCTTCAGGAATTTTATGCTGAAAAAATCGCATCGGCTTGTGTTGTCCACGCCATTTAGGACCGGTTGCATGTGGCGGTCCGATCGTATCGGTGCACTGGGCAGGCCGGCCGGCCGATGGGGCCCTGTCCGTGTGTCCGCGTGTCCAGTGTCCCCGTGTCCGTGAGCCGGCATGCTGTCCCCGCCGCCGTACTATCCACACGTGGACGAGGAGCGCGGTAGGTGACCCGCCGCTCGCTGCTGTCCCGTGTGGGCACGTGTGTTTGTCCGTGTGCAGTGGAACCTGTCTGTGATTCCTGGCCCCTTGTGTGTTTGTAATAGTGTGTTGGAAACACCGCTAATTCGCGATTAGCGGTGTCTCCAAGACTACACGATCGATCATCCCCAACCGCCGTGATGGCGTTAAAAACCGTCTTGTTTGTGTGTGTTTTTTTAAGTCTCCGGTGTCCCTCTTTCGGTGACCGGCCCGCAGCCTACCACGGTGTGTTTGCTTTACCTGCGACGTGTCTTCGCCTAAGCCGGCAGCGGAAAAACAGTCTGTTTGTTGGTGTGATACGGGCAGTAATTGGTGGTGTCACTGTCACCTGTCAAGTGTCCAGGCGCTTTGCTGGACCGCCAGTGAATACGTCGTGGTATACTGGATCTTCGTCTCGCCCATCGGCTGTGAGACTCTCTCCTTCTCTGTGCCGCGTCCCCCCCCCCCCTTCCATCGCGGACATGGAGCGGCAGCGGCCGACCTCGGCGTCTGCCAAGCACGCGCGATTTGAGTCACGGCGCCACTGAGCAGGCCACCTGACCCACTGTGCTCCGGCGGCTGCCAGCGCTCTGACCTTTTCCAAACGGCCCGGACGGCTGGTCGGACGGTCCGTCGCGAGGGAGTTTCTGAGAGTGCTTGTCACTGATGATCATTTGTTCTCGTTGCTAAGTCGGTTTCGTTCTGTTGCTGCCTCCTTTCGCGCAATGCACCGGAAATTTCCGTCCCTGACCCACTGACTGTCTCCGCCCTCCATCGAACGCTTTGGTTGACCGCTCCACTGTCGCATGCCCGGTCCGGTTGCCACTCGCCAAAATATTGATTTCTAGTCCGTGTTACCACCGTGCCCACGCAGCGGCCGCTACCTGTGATGGTGGTAGAATGCGGATCTGCTGAGGAGGTCTGTATTCAGTGCCTGGCAATGAACGCTATTCAACATGAGTGGGAAGTTGATTAATGAACTGAATATCCATTGACTACATGCTGCTGAGGTTTCCCACTTGTGAAACTGTTGCTTGATCGAATCCTGGTAATACCATTGAACACTTCAGCTCGGACTAGTTCTATTCTATTCCGGGATCTGAATATCTGCTTGAAGATAGCTTTCGAGATGAGCTTCCTGAAAGGATCCACCTCACCTGTTGCTTTCATTGCCGCTCATTTCCTATCAGTTCATCCTTCAGTTGCACGCTTTGAATGGCCTCGGCAGATGGGTCGAATGCTTTAGAATGTCACCCGTTTAGTTACTGACGCTGAATGAACTCCACCAGTCAATGCAATGTTTTCAAATAAGCCTGATACACTCAGTGTGATACAGCTAGGATTGTGGTCCCGCTCCCTCCCCTCCCTCCCTCTCTCTGCTGTGCAGCTCGTCTCAGCAGACATTCACTTCGGCCCCCGATAGATGTTGAGCCCTGTGTCGATCCCTCGCAAGCTGTTAGAGATCGATGGATGATCCTGCTCTGCCCTACGTTGGTCCATGGGCAGAGTCGATACCAGAGCGGGGTGGGTTACACCTGTTGCGCTCGCCCAGCTCGTGGTGCCCGGTATATAAATAAGCTGTGAGTGTGAACGAACGGGTACGTGCCGCCCGCTGGGCACCTGCGCGGCTGTCTGCGGCACTCAGACTGCAGTCATTGGTATTCGCTCCGCGCCCCAGTTGGTTACCCGACGACTGTCGACACGGGACGCACCAGACTGCCGCCGGAACTCGATTTATGGCACATGACGAGCACGTTTCCCGAGTTTTATGAGACGTCATTGGAATGTCATAGACCCATTTCTGAACATAATCGTTAGAATGGAGCAGAAAGTGCCTACCGTTCTGCGAGTAGCTCCTCTAGGAGTTCCTCCTGTATTGTGTGTCTGACGCCGCCGTGGCCCCTTGGGAGACCGTATGCTCTGAAACCCAGTCAGTCTGCCTCCCCTCCGTCTCCGTCTGTGCTCCATGATTCCTCTGGTGACCGGCCATCGCTGTCAGCCTGTGAGTGCAGTGTCCGGCTCGCCTGTCCCTGAGTATCGTCTCGGACCGGCTCTGAGCGCCGTTCGGTCTGCTCCTAAAGCCCGTCTCCCATCGTCTCTGAGAATCGCCTAAAGCCGGGTTCCCATGGGCTCCGAGAACTGTCTCCGCCGTTTCCTGCAGAGTGTACGACCAGGGAGAGAGAGGCGGGGCCGGCCCGATCATCGGTGGCACGCCACTCTCGCTCTGCGAATGGCCCCTTTGCGGGCGCCCGGCGCTCAGACCATCAGCGGCTGACGGGAACGACGCCGGGTGTCGCCGTCCTGTGCTTCTGTCCGCGCGCCGGGTGGGTGGTGTCCTCTGGTGAGACTCGGGTGGTTTAACCCTCTGCCGGGAGTGTAGGCTCCTTTAGGCTCAGCCTGTATGGCTCATCCGCCCGCCCGTTGTGCTGCGGGGCAGCGGGTTTTCCGTCGATCAGCTCTCTTTCCTCCCTGCTGCCGCCGCCGCGCCCGGCTGGCGAATTGACCGGTCGGCTCGGTGAAGTGTCGACTGATCGACCGACCCCCGAGGTCGGGCCGCCGCCACCGCTGCTGCCGCTGCCGGTGCCGCCGTGGCCAGGACAGGACATCAGCGGTCGATCATGGCCGACTTCCGGCACACGCGCCGGGCGTCGGGAATGTAGGGTGGAGTAGTAGTGCTTCCTTTTGCATGAAGCTAAAGAGTAGTCAAGTCATCGGGTAGGCAAAGCGGAAGTTGCCCTTAATGAACCTTTCAGGATTGAAGATAATTTCCTCCTGACGTGGACCGGAAAATGGCATGCCGTGCGGTGCTCCAGGAATCCAGCCAGTCTTTCAGAGAGAAAGCCATCGGCGCTCGCACTGACTGAGCCGTTTGCTAGTTGTCTGCACGTGCTCGGCGTAGTGGGATGTCAACTGTAATCGGGGTCGGGTGACAATTACGGCTCGCTGCAGACGGACCGCCGGCCGGTCACTGCGGTCACCGACCCATTGGCACGCTCCTGGCCCGGAATGACGCACGCTGATCGTTATCCTCCAGATATTGCGGGCGTTCTGTGTAGCGGTGGTTCTGTCCGTGCTCGGCGATCTGCGTCCGCCGCGTGGGCTGAGTGGCGTGCCATGTGAGGATCATGTTACAAGCCGAGGTGTTACATTGATCGGTCGGTAGTGGTAGTTCGTTTGTCTGGCACGTTGGGTGGCTATCTTTATCGTCCACTCCCAGGACCGGCCTTTGCTACTAGTCTGCCACGGTGGGAGCGGGTGTTGCCGGTCTGATAACACCTCACCTCAGCTCACCCCTGCCTGTCGGGCTCTCACCTTCACCTGTCTAAGCTCTCACCTAGAGCCTGTCGGCGCTCTCACCTAGCGCAGTCAGGAGCGGAGGCTCCGTTATCACGGCGGGTCCTGTCATCGTCCACCAGCCGCCACGCCGGCTGTTCCTGCCAACAGCAGCAGAGCGGGCGCCAGCCCCCCCCCCCCCCCCCCCCAACAGACACCCATCTGAGTCACACACAGCCACGGACACCTGTTAAAGACGTCCCCGTACGAGGCACAGGGAATAATGCGGGCGGACCAGGACACAGAGACACAGGAACGAGCGTGATGCTCAGTAGGACATTGAATCACTATTTTGTCATGAGGTTAATTCATGTGCACTGCCCTTGGTATTCGTTTTGTGTGGGTGTTTGTTGTTGTTGTTGTTTTTTTTTTATTAGTATCATGACTTGTTTGTGATTCATTTAGTGAAACGTGCGCTATCTGAATGTTTTTGCATAGTGCATTACGCATGTGTCTCTCTGTGTGTATGCTTTTAGTTGTCTCATGCGCCATTTTTCTCTCTCTTTTTTTTTAACATATGAGCCAGTTCTGCTTGAAGCTGTAAGTGTAAGCACAAAATCTTTTCATTTCTGGCCATTGTTCCCAGGCAAATCTGAAATTTCGTTTGCAGATATATCGCATCAATGTTTATTAGGAATTCCACTTGCTGCTAATTGACACCATTCGTAACTGATGTATTGCGTTTTATTAGGTATAAATTTAAACAGAAAACAAATGTTTGAAAAATCCAAATGAGAAAGAAAATGAGCTGTGTCAGTTACGTTTGAGATTATCCGATCGTCATTCGTTTGAAAACATCGTTATTGAAGGGCGATATGTTATTGAAGCCATCTGGACAATTTTTACAAGTGGATCACTCTGACAGTTTCAACGGACAGCTACCATTAATATCTTACTCTTCGGTCTTATATGTTCAAACCTTTTTCTGAAATGACCCTACTGGCTCTAACTATGATTTATTGTGGCCGTCGCAGCGTCCTACATTATCCGAAAGTGTCCCTACTTGTGCTAACCGTAACCTCTCTGCCGTTATCATCCAACGTCCTAAATTTTCCGTAACAGCCCCGCCGGTTTGACCGTGAACCGTGCGGTCGTTACAGCGTCCTACACGGGCAGCAGCTCAGACGAGGATGACATCTCTCCGCGCGAAAAGTCCCAGACGGCCGGCGATGGCTTCACCGACTTCTGCATCAAGAACGTGGCGCAAGCTGCGTTCGGCCGGCGCGAGATCGAGATCGCCGAGCAGGGTGAGCTGGCGGAGAGGGGAGAGAGGGAGAGGGAGAGAAGGGGAGAAGATTAGCTTCTGGGCTGTCGTGGTACTCTTGTCTGTTTTGTGGTATCCCACTTTACATGAGGGCATAGCGTGAGATTGATTGGTTGCGGGCAACTTTCACCTCTGAATAATATCAGTACAGAGCTACGAGTATGTCGTCATTGAGTCCTGTGGTTCGATGGTTTGGACAGCATGTCATTATAAGTGAAAGTTTAGGCGCTGTAATTCAATCACAGATCCAAGGAAACTGTGTGCCTCAGTCACGTAGACGACTCTATTTATGGACTATCTATCGCTGTGTTCAGGTGTGGCAGTCCATACATGCCGTCCCTGCCTCACGACTGACCAATGTCTCCCATTGACACTCCTCCAGAGATGCCCGGCATTGTTGCGCTGAGGAAGCGGGCCGCTGAGGACAAGCCGCTCCGAGGTGCCAAAATCGTCGGCTGCACACACATCAACGCCCAGACTGCGGTACGTACCGGGACGGGCTTCAGAGCATTTACCACACCCTACTGAAATAAATACACTGCTAAGTGTATTTAAGCGATCCAGCGATCCGGACTCCGCAAGATCCTCTGCGGTGATCCGGACTGGCCGGACGATCCTGTGCGGTGATCCGGACTGGCCGGACGATCCTCTGCGGTGATCCGGACTGGTCGGACGATCCTGTGCGGTGATCCGGACTGGCCGGACTACCCTCTGCGGTGATCCGGACTGCTGACGATCCTGTGCTGTGATCCGGACTCCGGACGATGGTCTGCGCGGCAGGGGCGGCTCGGCCAGCCTCATTAGTCCCCGATGATCGATGTGGAAGGGACCCCCGCCGCCAGTTCTGGTATCTGGGACGGCCATCGTCGGGTGCCGGGAGGCCTCCTATCGCGGGTATCGCGGGCGCGGTGTGGTCGGCGGTGGGCCCGACCCAGAGGGTAGTCAGCAGTGACAGATAGCTGGCACTGAGCCGTGCCGCGGGATGTGGCGGCGGCTCAGGACGGTCAGCTCACTGCCGGCGTGTACCCCGGCGCTCCTGTCTGGTCAGATAACCTGGTGGGTGGCCGTAATGAGACAGCGCGGGCCCTCATTTTCTGCCTCGACTCTCCACGAATGAACGATCCGTCCGACTAATGCTTCTTTTTTAGATGGACGGTGTGTCATCGCGCTGACCGCAGCCGTACTCTAAACTTCCGGCTCTAGCGTATGTGGTTTTGCCGGATGTTACTGCTTCGTGTTGCGGTAAGAATTTTCGTCATTGTTTGCTTCAGACGCTAGGCTGCGACTTTTGTTTCATGTGGCTAATGTCCTTTTCTTCTTGGAAGCGACTTGTGATATCAGGGCCAGCAAGAACAACATGCAGTGGCTGGTGCGTCTCGCCCACCGCTGAGTGTAAATATTTGCCATCGTCCCTGTTTTCGGAGGCACTCCCAACTCATCGCACCGCAAATCTGTTATGATTGTGACCAGTCATAACATATTATGACGATTTCCGACGATACCAGTGTCTGTCCGCTCCGGGAGAGTGACAGATGTGACCGCTGCCGATCTCTGTCGTCATCGGCTCCATTACCGTGTCAGTCTGACCTGCCCCGGCGAATCCCGCCCCTCCGCTGTCCCTCTCGTTGGGGATCGTGTCACGCCACTAATAGTCCATTCATCCATTCATCTATTCGTACAGGGTGGAAAGTAATTACGCGAACATACTTTTTCGTCTTATAGCAATGGAAAAAGCGGCGGGTGACATGAAAATTTCATCCTTTCATGTATTCCTATTTATGTGCGATACACTGACAAAGGCGTTCAGGCATAATTGACATGAGCATGTCAAGCACTGTTGGCCAAAGCTTAGTCCACGCCTCCTGGAGCTGTCTGGTGAGGCAATCGATGTTGGTGGCTACTAGCAGCTCTTAGACGCTCTCCTGAAGAGTCGCCTGGATATTTTTGATCAAATTGACGTCTGGGCTATTCCCATATTGACCATTATTTGCCCAGAAGAAGAACAGGTTCTCAAAGCACCAGTCTTGCGTCTTTTTGGCCGTGAGAGGAAGGACTTTATCAATCATGAAGAAGAATTTCTTTGCGTCGGGCACAAAAGTGCGCTCAATCATTTTGCCCCTTTTGGTGCATTGGTGGATTAGATAAAGAGACTCGTCTGGAAGGATGTTCCACTAGTTGTATTCTTTATTTTTGGTTGCCTTTTTGGCCACTACATGCAATTCTGACACCATCCGGGCGCTCATAACACGCTGATGTGTGTTCCTTTGCCGGATGTTTGAAGGTTGGGACGGGCGGGACGTCGGACACATCAGCAGCCCCCAACGCGTTGTTCTGCAGGTTTGACGGATGAAATAGCTTCGAAGATGTCTCACCCAACCACAAAGCCAGCTGCCTGTCCTCCTCTGTTCAGGTTTGCCGGTTTTTAGAAAACTTAGATTGACAATCCTGCTGTTAATTCATGAATTTTGGCCATCTCGATTGTTTGTACGGCTTGATTTTCGAATTTTCACGGATTTATGTATGAATCGTGATATCTTAGATCGGGTACCCGGCCATAGTAAACCATTTCGCCTGTTTTCGGATCGACTGTTGTCGTTTGGTCGCGGAAATGGTGACCACCCATTCGGCGCCTGAATTCGCCGAGGTTTTACTGCCGCCAACGGCTTTGCTTTTTAAGTCCTCTTAAGTTTTATTATGCTTCAACCAAACGTGTAATTGAGTAATGATGGTGCCGAGTCCGTTCCGAGTCCCTTCCGCACCAATCCAGCCAAAATAATCACAAACGCTTTCCCTGGCAACACCAAATTGCGATCTTTGCACATTGTGGTCTTGTGCAGCGTATGGCGTCTGCACCATTCGAAGTCGAGACGTGTTGTAGACCTTCCAAGTCATTTTTCAAAGTAAGGTCACTTTTGGTAGATGAGGCGACAACAAACACGACCAATCATGTTCCATGACAGCCCGCACTCATACAAAATCTCCACTGACGGGCGAAATTGTAAGAAAATACATGTTCGCGTAATTACTTTCCACCCTGTACGTCCACTCATTCAGTTTTATCGTCCGCTCGCTATTATTTTTGTCCACCCTCCCACCGGGCCGCTGGGACAGTGAATGTCCTGTTGGTCGATTTGTTGACGAGCAAACCGCCGGGGCCGGCCGCTGAGCCAGGCACCGCTCGCTATTGCTAGAGCTCGCGTGACACGCTCAATGGCTGGCGACCAAGGCCAGTCGGTACTGCGCATGTTAATGGCAGCACAAACGGATATATGCGCCCTATACTTGGTGCCATAAATTGTCGTCTTTGGCTTTATCAAATTTATTTTTCACATGCCACTGTTTGCATAAGGAGATGCCGGAGCTCTATTTTCATTAGTATGTGTCGATTGGGCTAGTTTTGCGTGTCGATCGGATAGATTCTATGTGTTAGAGCCTAGAGGTAACGTTTTGTTTCTGGAAATTCCGTTTGCTGTCGGGTGATCATGATGCTCGTTCCACTCGCACGGGTGCGACGTCTTCCAGGAGTGGCGGCAGGTGCTGTTTGGACAGGCCCGATATTGGTGTGTCCTCCGCCAACAGCCGGGTGTGGCTCGGTTCGGCCGGTCTCTGCTCCACCAGTCGGCCGGAAGCTGACTAACTGCCCGCGGCGAACGCTGCGGTGGCCGAATTTAACGCTGGCTGGCACCGACCGCTGCGCCGTGCGTGTGCAGTGAAGTTAAACGGGAGCCGGACTGAGTCAGGCATGTCTAAACTACGCTGGGAAGACGCCAATTGGCCAGCCCACGCCGTCCAACTCTGGACTAGGATGTCCGGGTGTGATCTGTGGTCTGTTTATCAGAAGTCGGTTGGAACGGATGAATATTAACCAGTTTTGAACCACGAACTAGGAGCAGTACTGACCAAGGCAGGACCTTGAATGATGTTTTTTTATGGAAGGTAATTTTACATAGCGAATTGGGGCACGGGTGGGCACTGAAAAGTCCTATATCGGTCGCATCCATGTATCGGCTTGGCTACGCTTGCCTTGATACTGCACTGGCATCAATGAGCACGGTGGTCGGTGTGATCCAATATTCGATAAACGGCGCGTTTGCTATTGCCCGGTCAACATATGGAGTGGTACTAGCTTGGGGGGGGGGGCTGAATATCGACGATACACATTGATCAATGTCATCAGACCAAGCCGCGATGATCTAACGATAGTGTTATCCTCGTAGGGAGGTGCGCTTCCACAGATCAAGGAGTCCAAACAGCTATAAGTATGCAGGTAATGAGTGTCGTGTGCGCCATGCTTGAATAGGCAATAAAACACTATGGACGGTTTTTTCCTTCTGGAAAGCCGTGGTTTTGTCCCAGTCTGCTCGTCTATTTCTGTCTCAGTTGACGTCACGTTCATTTTTCATAGTTTGACATAGCGTGTTCCGAAGGAGGCATTCGCCACATGGTTGTGTCGTTTTTACCTCGTCCCAAGCGGCGAACGTGTGCCGCAATGACGCCGTCGGGCCGAATGGTTCTGACGCCTCAGACGTCTGTCGAAACCGTCGCCTCCCTCACGTCACTATTGGTCTTTATGGCCCGACTGTGGGCCGTCTGTGGCGTCATGCTCACTCTGGCTGCCGGGCACGTCTCATATCTGTGCGACTCTGTGGTAATTTATAGGCTATGGCGTGCTAAAAGTGGCGGCGGCGGTGGCTGGAAGTTCATCCGGTCGCTCTCAGCCCTCAGCTCCGATGGCCTCCGAAGTATCGACCCTCAGGCGGTGGTTTAGATCTGTATTCTTATCCTGTCCTAGATCTGAACACTGGTAACACAACCTCGCCGTGACGTCTGACAGCTGAATTTGATTTTTCCGGGAAGGAGACGATCTCCCTTCCATAGCACCCACAGCCGTCAGGTGTTAGTACTGTTGGCAGAGCGGCAGGTATCTACTATACTACAATGGGCAGCTCGGCGGGCCAGACGTGCTGCAATGGCCGCGGTCCCTCCAGTGCGGCGGACCCCACGGGACCCATTCGGCAGCGGCCGAGCCCGGTAAACCAGCTACAGTGGCGTGTTGACATTGGCATGAGTGGCGTGACGGGCCCAGCGCGTGCGGTGGTGCGCATACATAATACATGGAGCTAGGTGCCGGCACTGACGGAGCTCCTGAGCTGAGTGGCCCATCATTGCAGCGAGCCTGAGCTGAGCTGGCTACCTCACGGCTGCGAGCCTCAGCTGAGCTGGCTCCATCGCCTCAACTAGCCTGAGCTGAGTTGGCGAGTTGGCTCCCTTACCGCTGCGAGTCTGAGCTGAGCTGGCTCCCTTACCGCTGCGAGTCTGAGCTGAGTTAGCTCCCTTACCGCTGCGAGTCTGAGCTGAGCTGGCTCCTTCACTACAACCAGCCTGAGCTGGGCTGGCGGCTCCCTCACCGCAGCCAGCAGCAGAGGAAAGCTCCTCCTGTGGTATAATGGTCCGTTGGGGATAAGGCTCTAACTTTGGATGATAATAGATGTATGGGCGTCTTATTGGCTTATATAAGTTTGGCATCAGTTTGATCGTGGTCTTATTCCAGAGTGTTGTATCTAGGGGAGCGGTGTGGAAGTGTGTAGTTACGTTATTACGGAGCGAGCGAAGCGAGCGTAGTCTTTCCTTAGATTAACGGAAATTTCTGAGTATGAGCGGCCGGCCGGCCGGCCGGCCGGCCGTGGTCACGCTTTTGCGAGGCTTATATCTCAGCAACCACTTGACCGATTTACATGCGGTAATTTTTGTAGGGTAGCTTCATTCCTTCTACCAAGTATTGGACTATTCCCGATGCATTTGGGTGACCCCTTATGCACGTGCCACGTGCAAAACGAAGAGGTGTCCGTTTTGTAATTGTTGCAATATCTCGGTAACTACTTGGCCGATTGCGCTGAAAGTTGGCATGTAGGTAGGCACCCACTAGGCACTGCATATCCATGTGCCAGAGTTGGGGTGCTGCTGCACGTGCGCACGTGCAGGGGTCGATTCCAGATCTCGAGAACGGCTGGACCGATGGCGCTCAAATTTGGTACATGGCTAGGGACCGGTTAGTAGGGTGCCGTGCAAAAGTCAGTTGGGACCCATTTTGCACGTGCGCACGTGCAGGGTGCCGCTTCCAGATCTCGAGAACGGCTGGGCCGATTGTGCTCAAATTTGGCACATCGCTAGAAACCGGTCAGTAGGGTGCCGTGTACAAGTCACAAGTCAGTTGGAGGTACCCCCTCGAAATTTCGCACGTGCAAGATTCACCCCTTCGCTCGCTCCGTTAGTCGCCCCAAAAGGCGCTATACTGGTAAAGTATAGTATGTGGCAAGAGTGTATTGCGTCATCGTAACAGCTGCACTACATTTTCTGCTTGTGGCATATGATTTATATTCCATTTTATCTCCCTGTTTCGTTTATCCCAGGGAGTTGTTTTTGACGGAGGGCAGTTTTTGTTTCTTGTGAACCAATTACGCCACTCGCACTCCCAGCCCATGTATCTTGACGTTAGACCTATGTAGTTCTATGCGACGTCAGTTCTCTCGCTTCCACCGCCATTCTTATCCCGACTAGAAGAAAAGTTTAAAGGGACCCTCCCACCTTCCAAAAAGTTAATGAATTGGCATTAAAGTGATGTCGCTCGGCTCAGAAAGAGCAAAAACGAATATATACCAAATTTCACCGAAAAAAAGTATTCACCGGTTTGCAAGTTATTAGACTTTTACTTTTGTTTACTTTTTTGGGATCTCCGCTGTTTCTAGCGACTTCATTTTGGAAGTGCGGCGTTTGCGGCAGATGTTGCGCGCAAATAGCATATACCACCACTGCTTCACAAAGATGTTAGTATAAGGTTGTAAAATCGTTAGATCACCACTGACGTCACAAATTCTAAGGGGGCATCCCAATGCATTAGCCCCCTAGAATCCTAAAACTGCAAGTTTGAAATTCCATATCTCCGAGCATTTTTCGATGTTGTGAGTGCCCGAATCGGTATTTTCAGGCCTTGGCCACCAATTTGGCTATCTCAACTCAAAACTAATGTTAAGGTGGGATGGTCACTTTAAGTATCGTTGGTATTGGGTCCGGCTGTGCCTGGCTCAATCTCTGGTACTTCATCAGTGCAGCATTCCGGGGAATAGTGGAAGCATCGACCGAATGCAGTCTCGTCCTGTACATAATGTCGGTGGCATTTTTTATCGAGCCGGTAGTTCATGCAGTGCAGGTGGAAAGGCACGTAAATCCCTCCTGTCCAAGTCCAAAATGAAATGTCTTCTGCAACAGTCACCTGACAGTGGAGCTGATAATAGTCTATCGATTGTATTGGCACATCGCGATATTATGGAGCCGATCCTTTGGCGGGCCGTATTCCCTCCTATTTTAAATATGACACTTCCGAGCGGGCTGGATCGTGTCGTGCCGTCGTTCAATACGGCCGGTATTGGCGACTCTGCCCGCTCTCTGCACAGTGAACCCTAGCGCTCTATCCCCGATCCTATCCACTGCGGCCGGCTGGACCCGAGGCGATTCTGCTGAGCTGGTAAAACCCCTTTATTGCGCCGCGGGCCTAACGTGTGGCCCTGTAATTTCAGTGATAACCCTGCCGTGATAGGGTATCGAAGGGATCGTTTGGTGTTGGTGTGCAAAGTTGGGTGTTGATTAGATCTGAGTTGGGTGTGAAAGTTGGGTGTGATATATTGTTACCATAGATCCTTTGCTTTTGTTTACGATGGTGCCATTGAAATTGGAATGCAATTTTGCAATGTTACTGCTTTCGAGTTTCCAAGGTTGTCTAATCGCTCAAATGTTTAATGGATGGACTAATCATTTTTCGTTTTGCGTCTTTTGTCTCTAAGCTCATCTAACGGAGCCCATACTGCTCAATTATGTCCGCTCGTTTTTAGTACACCATTTTCTTGTCGTTGTTCCTCTTCAGTCTTCACCCACCTGCCGGTTGTCCTATTTTGAATGTCTGGCCAGCTGTCAGTCGGCCATTATCTTTCTCTTCTGGACATTTTAGTTCCCCTCCCCGTACGTTTTCCACTGATCGTTTGCTGTCACATTGGCTCCCTTCTGCCCCCTCACACAGACTCTGCTGACCACTTTTACCGTCTTCTGACTTTTGGCTCCTAGACTGTCTTCAGGACTGTTCGTCCCGTTGTTCCTGCATTTCGACCGTTCGTGCCCACTTTGCTGGCCGTCCGTCCCCTCTATTGCTGTCTGCCGATTTGCTGACTCCCCCTCCTCCGCGTCTGTTTCAGGTGCTGATTGAGACGCTGATCTCCCTGGGAGCCAGCGTACGATGGGCCGCCTGCAACATCTACTCCACTCAGAACGAGGTGGCCGCCGCCCTCGCCGAGAAAAGTAAGAATTGAGTAAGAACCCACAATTTCATCGGACGCTCCCAAGAACAGCATTGTTGTATCGGTTGTATCTATAGTGCCCATTGACCTATAATAAGTACTTATTATTATATACTTATACTTATACTTATACTTATTATATACTTATTATAGGTCAATGATAGTGCCCATAGCAACACGTGAGCACTTTCATGCAGCAACACCTGCATGAAAGAAACTGCAGATGGAATTGCTATACAGGTGGTTCTGGAATTCACACGGTAGCTGGTATAAAGTTCAAGTGCTGAGGTTATGTCGTGTGTTTTATGCGTCCTTATGAACGCTGAGCGACTAGGTTAGTCAAGAGTATCATTGCAATTTTTTAATTATAATGAATGCTATTAAACGTGAAATTAATATCAGCTATTATGAAGCTGCATTTGGGTGGACCTAATTAAAACATCTATCTTTTATTGGATATTTTATGCGGTGCATGTGATGTTTGCAGCGAGCGTCTAATTTTGTCTAACATTAATCGTACCTATCTTATGGTGCATTAATAATGTGTTGTTGTTTTGTTTGCAACTCCGGAAAAGCCATTACTGCCTCACTGGCTACAGAGAAGTTACTGCACCCTCGATACTCATCCCAACTTTTTTGTCTGTAGTTTTCGCTGCTTGAAGTGTCTGTCGAACGTAATTATTTAAGTTGGCTGCGCGCCTGGTACCTTCATATTGCTATGATTTCGTGTCCAGCTAATTTGAATGTTAGGTTGTAGCCAAAATGATTACTTTATCTTTAGTTTCCCGATGCCCTCTGAGTGAATCTCGTATTCAATCCCCTTCCGTCTATTTCATGGTCCGTTCTGTTTCGCCACCCATTTTGTGGCAGTGGTTACCAGCTGGCGCCGTCTCCGGGTGCCTCTTCTCCTACCCCCCCCCCCTCCGCTCCTCGAGTACCCCCTAGATTCCCCAGATGACAAACAGCTACGACCCGACCCTAGCGATACGCCGAATCTCGACAATAGCCGCGACAACTCGGCGCCAGCTGCCTGCCTTCCAACAGCTGCGCTCTAATTGCTTCCAGATTTAATTCCGTTCTTATTTTACGTCCCGTCGTAACCCGGGGACTGTAAACTGACGCGGACGGGCGCTGACGCGTGCTCCCTGCCCTCGTCCTGCCAGGCATACCGGTGTTCGCCTGGCGCGGCGAGACCGAGGAAGACTTCTGGTGGTGCATCGACAAGTGCATCAACGCCGAGAACTGGCAGCCCAACATGATCCTGGATGACGGCGGTGACGCCACGCATCTCATGCTGAAAAAGTACCCGGCCATGTTCAAACTGATTCGCGGTGAGTCAGCGCCACCTACACCGATGGTTCTGCTGTCCCTCCGGCCATCTGACGGCTCTGCGAGGAAGCGATGTGCTATGGCGTTGGGAGGTTTTCCGTCAATGCAGATGTGAATAATCAGCCTGAAGTTTGATCCTACCAAGTTGTTCTCGAGCACGTCTTAGAAATTAAATAGTTTTAGTCAGAACCCGTGCAAATACATATGCGCACTTGATGGGAAGCTCTAAATCTGGTTAAATGATTGAAGATTTTGCCAAAAAAATCGTCTGTGTTCTGTTTAGAATTATTTTTACAGGGCCTTAAATCTCAATCAGCAACTGCATCTCAATCAGCCACTGCATGATTTTTTTAATTGAAATGTCTTGTCGCAGTGAAGTGTGCCAACCCGACTGTCACTGTGCCGGCCGTGCTCACCGCTCCGTGTCTCTAACATCATGACCATGTGCAGGTATTGTGGAAGAGTCGGTGACGGGCGTGCACCGTCTGTACCAGCTGAGCAAGCAGCAGAAGCTGTCCGTGCCGGCGATGAACGTCAACGACTCTGTGACCAAGACCAAGTTCGACAACCTCTACAGCTGCCGCGAGAGCATCATTGACAGGTGCGGCGCGGTATTGGCTGCTCTCGTAATCTCAGGTTCCATTACTGAACGTGACTGGGCACACAGACACGGGCTCAGTTGTCTGTGTTTATTCGTATTCTCGCTTCTTTGTTTTTGTGTTGTTGGTGCTGTAATTGAAATGCGACACATGTTCACAATCAGTTTCCGGAAATATTTTGTCGAGCTGTTTGTTTTGCAGTACGGTCGCGTTGTCGTAAACAATGGGCCCTGCCACCGACACACCTGACAGTGTGCTGGCTTAATAACAGACCATGCGGGACGTTTTTATAAATTTGTATTGTTCCAGCTCGTTTGTAGTAATTAAACCAGTAAAACGCCTTTTGGGCGAAGAACGAGCGAGCGAGACAGTGAGCCCTGCACGTGCGGAAGGGCGAGAGGGTACTTCCAACGGACTTGCGCAAAACACCCTTCTAACCGGTCGATAGCCGTGTGCCAAATTTGAACGCAATCGGCCCAGTCATTCCTGAGATCTGGAAGCGGCATTCTGCACGTGCAAACGGGTCCAAACTGACTTTTGCACGGCACCCTACTAACTGGTCCCCAACCGTGTACCAAATTTGAGCGCAATCGGCCCAGCCGTTCTCGAGATCTGGAAGCGCCCCCTGCACGTGCGCACGTGCAGTAGCACCTTAACCGCAACACATGGGAATGCATTGCCTGGAGGGTGCCTACCTGTATGCCAAGTTTCAGCGAAATCGCCCCAGTAATTACAGAGTTGTTAAAATGGGAACAAATTTGACACCTCTTATTGTTGTATTTTGCACGAGCACTGGGGGTGACCCACATGCATCGAGACCGCTCGAGAGTATCCTATTTTTGGTAGAAGGGATGCTGTTACCCTACAAAAATTACCGCAAGTCAATCGCCTAAGCGGCTGCTGTGATATGAGCCTCTCAAAATCACTACTTTTGCAAAACAGCTTGAACACCCTTGACTTTTCACGTGGCACGTGCCACGACGGTCACTGAGGTGTATCAAAAGTAGTCAATTTCCGGGTAGAAGGGGTGGGGCTACCCAGCAAAAAAGACCGCAGTCCAATCGGTCCAGCGGTTGCTGAGATATGAGCCTCTCAAAAGCGTTACAGGCCGGGCCGGGCCGGGCCGGGCCGCTCATACTGAGATTTTTCCGTTATATTGAAAAGACTCTCTTCGCTCGCTGCGCTCGCTCGCTCGTAATAAGCTACTTCATCCTGTCCTAGATAGCTCTGGCGTGGAAATGTCGTAGTTCAAACACTGCAGCTAAGACTCTTTAAAATTTCGTGGGCATCAACGAAGATTAGTTGCCGTAAAATTTTGAATGGGATTGGGTTGACCAACAACGTAATGATGTAAAATTAGGGACTTTTGAGTATCATTTCACTTGTTTTATTTCGCGAGGTCCATTTGTTATCCTGAGAAGCCCAGAGGCCTTGCCATTTATCAACTCGGATGTCTTGCAACGAAATAGCTTTCGCAACTGAAGCGACATCTGAAAACCGACAAATGTCTCATATGTATGCAGTCTTGACTAACTACACCTTCTCTGTGCAGTTACATTTGTAAAGCTGCTCTAGGAAGTGGTGAGGTCGTCTTGTGCGAGTCCTGGCTGACCTGTTTCTCCCCTCCGGCAGTCTGAAGAGGGCCACCGATATCATGTTCGGCGGCAAGCAGGCCATCGTCTGCGGTTACGGCGAGGTCGGCAAGGGCTGCTGCCAGTCCCTCAAGGGGCTCGGCTGTGTGCTCTATGTGGCCGAGATCGACCCCATCTGCGCTCTGCAGGCCAGGTAGGTGGGGGCATACTCTGCGCCCGGGTGTGTGTGCTGCGTGCTACAGGATCACACCCTTCCATTCCCGATCCATTTATTCATACGTATATTGCATATGGCATAAGCAATAAGCATTCATGTTTCCATGATTTGTCTCTATTTCTTACAGTTGAATTCTGATCTTTCCAGTATTTTAATTTCCTTTCGGCTCCTCAGCCCTCAATCTTCGTTCAGCCGGCAGAAAGTATTCCGGTACAGCCTACCTTCAGGCGCTGACCACTGCTGCCATCTACCGGCTGTTTTTCAAAAACAGCAAGACTTACTGTTTCCGTCAACTTCTAGTGCGTCTGGATGTGTCAAGTTGAGCATTGTTGGGCTGTGGTGATGTGGTGAATCTGTTCTGCCCATCACCAAGACATATTTGAGCTATAAAAGCGTTTTCCCGTCATCTCCGCCTATGCGCGTCCTGTCACGGTCTGACCGTCATCCTCCCCGGCAGTATGGACGGCCTGCGCGTGGTAAAGCTGAACGAGGTGATCCGGAACGTGGACATCATCATCACGGCCACGGGCAACAAGAACGTGGTGACGCGCGAGCACATGGACCGCATGAAGAACGGCGCCCTGCTCTGTAACATGGGCCACTCCAACACCGAGATCGACGTGGTGAGTAAACGGGGAAGCTGTGGTTCGGAGGGCTGCCGCCACGGGCGCTGGTGTGCAGCCGAGTGGCTGGATCGCTGGGAAGTTCAATAGATGCCGCGGTGATGGGTGTATTTATTCTGAACTCCTATTTAATGTCGAGTAATGAAGTGCCGCTTCATGTAATTACTTTGTTTACTGAGCCTGTGAAAGCTTAATCCAGAATTAAGCTCCACTCTATGAGAGAACCAATTGTTTTGCTATTTTCAGCCTGTAAATAGCGATTCAAATCTTGTCTCAGTCCTGATGAGAGAGCCGTATGTCAAATCCTAATCAAGCGAAGAAACAGAAATGGTCCTCATGGATATTGTATCACTTCAACACATTAAACAAAGGCCATGTATCCTCCCTGACATAGATGCAATCATGCATGAAATACTTGGACGCTTCGTGGTCTTGTGACGCTAAACTCCAGTTGCGATGTTACTCCACCCAGCGGCAGGCTGCAGTTTAGGACCTATGAGACTGAGAGGTATCACGCCCAGTACACTCCCGTCTGACCGCTGACCTGTCCTGCCCACAGAACTCGCTCCGCACGCCCGAGCTGACCTGGGAGAAGGTGCGCTCCTCTGTCGACCACGTCATCTGGCCGGACGGCAAGCGGATCGTGCTGCTGGCGGAGGGCCGGCTGGTCAACCTGACCTGCTCCAGCGTGCCCTCGTTCGTCGTCTCTATCTCGGCGGCCACTCAGGTCAGTGACCCGACCCGACCCGACGCGACCCTCTCTCTCCCGTATCCGGTACTCTCTCCCGCCCGGTGACTGGGCGGCGGGCGATATATTGTCTCTCGCGTGTTATAGATTGTCTGAGTGATGCGACGCAAGTCACTCCGCTAATATGCTAAGTGACAGGTGATGTGTGATCAATGGAGCGACCACTGATGCAGTGGTCTGCCGTAAATTCGATCAATCGATCTTTGGTGGAACATGAGCGGATATGGGTGTCCATTGTGTCATGGGAATCCCATGACGGCGATATCACAGTGGTATCGCTGCTGCGGTAATCGTCGCCTTTATGTGACGAGTGATTCGCGTTTGTCGCTCCCATGACTGTAGCAGTGTGAAAACTTGTTTTACTTAAATGTCTTCTTTATGTATTGCGTGACCACTGCAGACGCCCGGCTCTCCCACACCCAAATAATCCTCATCGGGCGCGTGCTGGGACGCTCTGGGACGGCTTCCGACGGTCGCCCGTCTCTCGGTCAGCTGCTGCCGCCTCGCGCCACCCCTCCGCCGGCCGTGCGCGGATATAAATGAGGGGCAGACGGACGGCGGGCCATATAGAGGAACATTATCCGGTTCCGCCGAACGGCTCGCGCGCCGCGACCGCGCCGCTTCGGTGAACACTCGACGGAAGTGGCCAACCGACGCTGAATGCAAATGGTATTGCGGCGAATTCGTCTTGATATTTCGGAGAAGGCACCGCTGCCCGTCGCCTGGGTTCGATTGGTGGCCATCGCTCGCCGCTCGGGCGGCTCCGGTCGCGCCACGGTACGGTTTCAGCCGGGCGTGTGGAGCCGGAGCCACTGCCGACGCCACCCCCGTACCGTCGAACCGGTCGGGCCGTCCGCCGCCCCGCCATGATATATGATCAAAGTTGGCCGGCTGATTTCATGCCCGGACGCCGGCAGTCGGCCCGGCCCCAGGTGTGACGTCACGCTGACGTCACCGCCGGTCGGGCGGGCGGCGTCCGTGCGGCACGGGCTGCGCGGCGGCTCTGTGCGGGTGCCGGTGTGAGTGTGCGGCGGCTCTGTGCGGGTGCCGGTGCGAGTGTGCGGCGCCCGGAGCCGGGTCCCGGACTCTGCTCGGCGCGCACTGCTCCGCCTTCTGCAGCGGCAGTGCGCAGCTGGTTATTAATGGCCGCCGGCGATCAGTTGTCGCCCACTGTGCGCCTCTTATCGGAGCGGCTAATTCGGGAGCGGCCGCCACCGGCGCCGGGCGCCACCAAATGACCCAGTCAGTCTCTGGAACGCCTTCCCGATGGCTGTAACAGCGCCGCTAATGACTATTAAACTGAATGAAGGATGCGTTAGTTGGGTGGAAATGAAGCGTACCGGATGGATGCCGTCACTGCGGGCTTTGGCAGCCCATTGACGTCAGATGGGATTTGCCAAGTTTAGCAGTCTGGTGTTACAGCAGTGGCTGATTATATCTGAGAAATGGGATCTCCTTGGTTCCGCCGTGCTGGCCGCTTTTTATGTGACATCCTTTTTGAGGATGTTTAAAACAATTAAATGGTTCGCCAAGTCTATCCATCTGAACAGCTCAGGCAATCCAGCGCTCGAATTAATCTCATAAATGTATTGCTGCGGAGCCTGCAGCTGGGACGGCTCTCAGAGTAATATTTCACTCGCAGAGCTGGCCGTTTTAAATATCTCGCCAGTTAAGTGCTATTTGCTAATGGCGGCAGCTGGCGCGTGCAGCTGCATTAAACGGTCCGAACTCGGGGTCGACCTCAGTCCGTCCACGGCGGGACCTTGAACGGGGTCGAGCAAACGGTGCGCTGTCCCTCTGTTCCCCGCTCGACCCGCCGTGTCGGGGTATGTTCGGCGTGTTTGGGGTGTCCCCTTCTGCCGCTTCTGACAGCTGTGCGCTGTTCCGTGTGCTGTTCAGTTGGCCGGGTCCCTGTGTCCGCCGGGTCCCGAGTCTTCCGCCACCATTTGACGACCGTTTTGTGGTATGTGCCGCAGGCCCTGGCGCTGATCGAGCTGTTCAACGCCCCAGCTGGACGCTACAAGGCTGACGTGTACCTGCTGCCCAAGAAGATGGGTAAGTCCACCAGTGGTAGCAAGATGGCAGGACCCTCTCTGACGCTCTTCTGTACTAGACTCATTAGTGGCCAGTCTTATCATGTCCGTTATCCGGTCTCCTGTCCGCAGTCCTCCATACGTCCCTCGTCCATGAACACGGCGGCGGTAGCATCCAGCGTTTACCGCCGAGCCCCCGTCTGCGGAAGCCCCCGTCGGACCTCCCGCTCCTCCCGTCCGCCCAGCCACTGACGGACGGAGGCGCCTGCCTGCCTCAGCCCCCGTCCCCGCCCTCCGCCGCCGGCGGCACCCAGCTCCGGCTCCGAGTTGCCCGCCGCGTCCTCAATATAGACACCGGTATGAGCGCGATGTGAGCGCCGACCCTCCGTCTATTTCAATAAAGAAGCAAAAAGGCGTCTGCGTCTCGGAACTGCGTTATGAACCTATTGAAGATGTTTACCGATGTAGAAAAGAAATGGTGTCGCGCGATATTTGAGCACGTTTTGTTCCGTTGAAGTCGTCTGACGTCACAAGCGATTCGTTTCCATTAGTTTTGAGTTACTGTTGTGCTGCAATTTTTCATTTGCTCTTTTCAAGTCAAATATCAAATTAAGCGTATTTCTGGGCAAAACGAAGTGAACACGTCTGGGCTAATCCGTCGTCATATTGTCATCGCCTTCGAGAAATATGTGTCCACCACTACAGCGATCAAGAGATGCCTGTGTGTCTTTGTGTCTGTCTGTCTGTCTATGTAACCTGCGTCTCTCTGTGCGCCGCAGATGAGTACGTGGCCAGCCTGCACCTGCCCTCGTTCGACGCCCATCTCACTGAGCTCACTGAGGAGCAGGCCAAGTACATGGGACTCAACAAGGCCGGTCCGTTCAAGCCCAACTACTACAGGTGAGTGCGGCGCTCCACGGCTCACGGCCCGGCGCTGCTCGCATTGCTCGTATTGCCAACGTGCTGTGGTCCTGGCGGAGGGCAAGATGGCGGCCTGAGGTGTTTTTTTTTTCTGTTAGACAGCATCATCCCTTCAGTTTTTCGTTCTCCATAATTTTTTGTTAGGGGTGATAGTGTGATAGACTTGGTCGGTTTAGAGCTTCTAAGCTTCAAGTTACTAAGGCAATCATTTGACTGATAAGGAAAGGCTATGGGCGGGACAAAACTCCCGGTAGGCTGTAATTCAGTATAATCACATTTTGGGAGTATAAAATTAAATCCATTTGTTTCGAGCAAATATTTATTTGTATGCTTGTTTAGCTCATTTTATCGCAAATTTGCTGGACACTGTCCGACTCGTAGCCTCAAGAAGTCTCTTTAGGCTAGGCATAAACAAAGGCGATGCTGGTTTTGCGTTAAGCCGGCGTTTGGCTTGCATCTTTCGTGGAACGCATTAGCGAAGCTTCCATGGCGGAGCGTTGCTTGCTTTATCGGGACTTCGCCTAAGCCAAAAGAAGTAAGTTTCTTTAGGAACAAAACAATTCCTGGCTTTCCGAAATCAGGCTGTTGTTAGAAACTGAGGTTAATCGAGATGCATGCGCTATTCTCAGAAGCTGGGGATGGCCAAGCTAGATAAATTCATAAAAGAAGCATTTTTTCTGTATTCTGGTCAACATTGGTTTACATCATATATGCCTCGGGTCAAGCGAACTTCTGTGCACAATTTTTATCCGTGATAGGTGATTGTTTGAAAGTGTGTTGCTAAGAGATCATAGTTATTTACTTGTTGCGCGAAGTTTTGCCATGGTCTCCCGATAGGGGGTCCGGTGCGGAGCCTCACAAGTTGGTATCTTCTGGTCCGGCCGGCCGCTGTCGGTGCTCGGACGGGTTATCTGCTCTGATCCGGCCGGCCGCCGTCAGGGCTCGGACGGGGTTATCTGCTCTGGTCCGGCCGGCCGCTGTCAGGGCTGGGACGGGGTTATCTGCTCTGGTCCGGCCGGCCGCTGTCAGGGCTCGGACGGGGTTATCTGCTCTGGTCCGGCCGGCCGCTGTCAGGGCTCGGACGGGGTTATCTGCTCTGGTCCGGCCGGCCGCTGTCAGGGCTGGGACGGGGTTATCTGCTCTGGTCCGGCCGGCCGCTGTCAGGGCTCGGACGGGGTTATCTGCTCTGGTCCGGCCGGCCGCTGTCAGGGCTCGGACGGGGTTATCTGCTCTGGAGCGGCCGGCCGCTGTCAGGGCTCGGACGGGTTATCTGCTCTGATCCGGCCGGCCGCTGTCGGTGCTCGGACGGGGTTATCTGCTCTGGAGCGGCCGGCCGCCGTCAGGGCTCGGACGGGGTTATCTGCTCTGGTCCGGCCGGCCGCTGTCGGTGCTCGGACGGGGTTATCTGCTCTGGAGCGGCCGGCCGCTGTCAGGGCTCGGACGGGGTTATCTGCTCTGATCCGGCCGGCCGCTGTCAGGGCTCGGACGGGGTTATCTGCTCTGATCCGGCCGGCCGCCGTCAGGGCTCGGACGGGGTTATCTGCTCTGATCCGGCCGGCCGCTGTCAGGGCTCGGACGGGTTATCTGCTCTGGTCCGGCCGGCCGGGCGCCTTGGACGGCCGACGGCGGCCCCGCTACAAACTCCCAAACAACGGAAGGGTCGGGGGGGGGGGGGGGTCGTACTCGCGGTCGTTCCTTGTATCTGCCCGGCCGACCAACTTAATGAAACTTCATCAAGATGCCGTCCGCGACATTAATTTAAGTCGCCCGCCTACTCGGTTCGGCCTAATTGTGCCCACTCTTTGGTGACAAGCACGTGGCAATTTGCATCAAAAGGTCCCAGACAAAGGCTTATTGAAACTGGAAATTAGTTCCCCAATCAAATTGAGCCATTTTTGCATGGCGAGGCATTCTTTGCGGAGCCTGAAGCGTTTTAAGTGCCGTCTGAGCGGGCCAATTTCGGAGACGACGCGTTTGAGTCTGAGCGGCGCTGGGCTGAGCCGGGTTTCACAGTCGCCGCGGCACAAAGAGCCGGCGGCTGCCGGAGGAGCGGGGCGGGCTGACGGACCGCGCGCGCCGCCGGACGCTCCGGTGACCGGCATATGCGCCGTGGAATTTCTCATTAGCCGGCGCCGGGACGGTGAGGGTGGCTGCCGTCTCCGGAGCCGGCGCGGCCGATTTATTTACGGGGGTGGGCCTTATTGATGTCGGCCCCCGCCCTGGGCCGCCGGCCGGCCGGCCTGAACTGGCACCGGCTGGCAGTGATGGGCGTACGCCAAAACAATACCCGCCCCGGCCGCATATCAACAATGCCGCTCAATGCGCGACAAGGACCTATTACCAGCAGCCGTCTGCCGCGCGATGGTCGCTGCCTGTCTGATATGTTGCATCAGAAAATATGCGCCGCGTAGTATTGTTGGATATTTTTGGTAGCCTGATATCAGGTTCTCAAAACCCTCCTTATTTCTTTTTGACGCAATATCGAGATTATGTGCTGTTATTGCTTCCACATTTAGTATCTTTTTTAAGCTCTCACGCGCTTTCACGCCCTCGCGTGACGTCATCCCGGTCATCTGTTCTTATTGGTTCGTACGATAGCCAGTGACGTCATTAAACAGAGGGCACTTAACAGCAATATGTGGATATTCACCCCCGGTCCATCACAGCATCTCCTGCTAACGGCTGCGTATCAGTGCAGCCCTCCGCATTAGCGGGACGGTGACGCAGAAACCGTCCCTCCCCCTACCCAGCACCGGTAGGTCGGCGGGCTCTCGCACACACCCCGCAATAATGGCATCGCTGAAGCGACGCACGGACGGCCAATATAAGCCAGGCATTGACTGACGTCGATTAAATGAAGCAGACTGCGTGGGCGGCTGGTATGAGAGCCGACCTGTGTGGGCGGCCCGGGCCGGGCACCAGTGTCGATTCTGGCCAGTGAGAGCAGCCGACGAAGGGGAACGGCTGTGACTTGGACGCCGCGTCGTCTCTGACGGCTTCCTTCTCCGTCCGTTGCAGGTATTAGGGTGACCGGAGCGGCGGATGTCATCAGTCCGGCTGGGCTACCGTCCTGACCTGGGCGTCCGATTGGCCATGCCACTGCGGTGCGGCCGCCCGACCCGAGCGCGGCAGCGCCCGGCGCCGACCGGGCTCGGCCGACTGCGAGTCGGTGCGCCAGCCGCCAATCCGCTGACTGAGAATGCGTGTGTGTATCCGAGAGAGCGCGTGTGTATTTGCTGCGCGTGCAGTGTGCTCCGTCAATCAATTGTGCAGCTTATGGTGAGTATTCTAGTGAACAAATTTGGTGGAGATTCTCTCGTCTAGTGCAAACAATCCCGCGCGTCGTGCGCGCTCGCCGGTGCCGTGTCGGCGGCCGGCGGGGTTCAATCTGTCCGGCCACGCCCGCGGAGCGCCGTGGGCGCCGTGTGCTATTTGTTGGCGGCCTGGCGACGGCGACCGATGGCTGTCGCCGCCGAGCCGCCCAGTGCCATCGGCCCGCCACCGCGGGCAGGCCTGCAATAGAGCGGCAGCGTGCCGCGCCCGGCGGACGGGCGAGCCGCGTACCGCCGCTCTCAGAGAGACGCGCCCGCGCCGCCGAGATTGGACCGCCCGATCGTATGATGTCTGTGGAATAGCGCTACGAGCGCGTGAACTGCTGGAGAAAAGGCTACTGGATACATGGTGTGGTCCGAAACTATAGACGCTCTGGATCGAATGGTGAAACCTATCGATGTGCTGGTTTATGTCTCCAAGTCAGGACCTGTGCAGTTTAAAGAGCTCAATGTAGGGTAAATGAAATCAGAGTCGTATTACCGCCCCGTCGCGCTACCACCGGGCCTCCTGCTGGGTAGCTGCTGTCTCCGCGTCCCTCGGGCGCGGCGCCGTCGGGCGCGGCGCTGTTGGGTGTTTTAAATGATCATTAGCTGTGGTCGCCATGTGGCAGCGTCTCCCTCCGACGCCAGCGAGCGAGTGTGCGTGTGTGATGGTTTCGGTGGGCCGCGGGGCGCCGTACACACATTCCGAGCCGGGGCGCCGTGGGCGCCGGCGGCCGGCGGCGCCCGTCTGTCCTGGATGGCTTCTCTGTGGTGCTTGGGTTCTTCGCGGCGCGTGTGTCGGTGCCGTGGCCCGGGCCGGCCGGCCGGCGGGTATCCCGCTGCGGCCGTCGTCAGCGCCGACGGGTGATATCACACGCAAACAAATACACATGTTACGGAATGGCCCGCGTCTGCCTGCCGGTGGCTGTGAGGCAGCGGTACTGAAATGGCAACGGCAGTCTGGTGGTCAGCTCAACAAGAAGCAAACCAGTGGAACCACAGAGTTTCCTTCGCCATCGTTCGCTCGTGCAAAGTAACTGAAGGCGAGACAAGCTTGTGCTTTGATTCAAACGTTTCTAGTAAGAAGTATGGCTGCAATTCGCAGAATTGCACCATCCGCCACTCTAATGTAAAAAGGGACGTGTTAAAGGCACGCGAAGATATTCGAGATGGTAAACTTTTTGTCGTAAGTTTGACAAAGGCTGCTAATTTGGGAACTTTTTCTCGTAGCCCAGAAACTCTAGCTAAAGTTCGTGAGCCGCCAAAAAAGAGCCTAAAGGCGCGTATGACGTTATTGTTCACGGCTCCAGAATAGCAGGCGGCGGCGGCGGCAGCTGGATGTTCCGCGCGTGGGCGGGCTACCCCCGGCGCCGCCTCCACAGGGACCAGTCGAGCCGGCTGCAGTCTCCAGTTCCACCCTCCCGTGATGGCCCTCCGCGGACCGGACCGAGCGCCCGCGGCCCGGGCGGCGGCGCCACTCGAACGGGCGCATTACCCCGCGGAATGGCTCCCGGCGGCGGCGCTGCCGACTGCGTTACCGCCCTGTCGGCACCCGCTAATGGGGCTCTGGCCGGCTCACCGTCTGGTGACGTCACTGGCGGCACGCTATTGGTCCGCGCACCGGTGACGTCACTGACGAACCCCCCGCAGGGGGCTGACCGTGGTCAGAGCTGCTGCTTAGCCGGGGTCATCTGGCTCCGGCTGTGCGGCGGCTGTGACTTCGGCCAGTAAGGGGAGTAGCGCCCCCTCGGCCCCAGCTTGACGCGCGTTTTGACCTGGACTTGCCTTGCTTACTGGATGGATTGTCTGCAGGATTGGCCCCGCAGGGGGTTGGCAGTGGCCGGGGTCGCTGTCGGACTGGGTTCCTTGGGCCTTTGCCCCGCGGCGGCCTTGGCCTCGGCCAGCAAGGGGAGTAGCGCCCCCTCGGCCCCAGCTTGACCCATGCTTGCTTGCGACTTGCTTTGATCGCTGGTTGGACAGATGGTACGGCCCGACTTTTCTTGGTTTCCGTGGTTTTGTTTCTCTTGAGCGGTCTCTGTTTGCTTTTGCTTTGCTTTTCACCGGATGTCCGCGTTTCTTTCGATCACAGCTTTCTGATTCTTTTCCTACCTTTTTCGTTGTTTTTGCACCCGCAGGAACACAGCCGAGTTGGGCTAGTGTAAGGGGAGTGGCGTCCCCTCGGGTACCAGCCGGTTTTACTAGGCTAGGCGAGCCGACCCGTACCCCAGGACAACGGGATCCTGGAGGTTGAGCCCCCCACCGTGCGGAGCCAGTCGCGGTGGCTGGGCAACACGCCTCTTTGGCCCTGAGTTCTGTAAGGGCGGGACACTCAGTGGGGCGCCGCACTTGAGGAGCCATTCCCAGTCGTGACGCCGCCGGGGGTGGTGTCTGAGAGGTGTCGCCGGCGGGGTTCGGGCACTTGTGCTCGTCCTCCGTCGGTGGGACTGATCTGTCGCTGCCCCTGGCGGTGACTCGGCTAGGCGTCAAGGGAGGAGGCGGTATCCGACCGTGGGGGGTGGTGAGTCTCTCTCTCCCCCGCGGAAGGTGCCGCCAAGTCCCGTACAGTCAGCTCGGCCGTCCCAGGCCTTGTAGCGGCGCCGTTGCGGAGCGTCGGCGGCCGAGCTGGCGGAGACCAAGCACACTCCATGGATAACTCGACCAACCCCCCTTCCCCCACTCTTACCAATCCTTCGGCCTCGGCCGATCCTCGCCCGTTGGCCTCGGCCGACAGGCGAACGGTGCTTGAAAAAGGTCCACGATCTCCTAAGATCCTCATCTTCCGGAGCGCAGACAGGGAGCTGAGCTCTCTGTCGCCCTTCCAGCGGAAGGATGGCTGCGACCGGTTCGGTTCGATAGTTCGTTGTGACCGGATGCGTGATGGCGCGCTGGAGGTCGAGTTCAGGAAAAGCGAGGAGGCGGCGAAAGCATTGGACGCTACTCGCTTCGTGTTCTCCGAGGGACGGGCATCCGGCCGGAGGCTCGTTTCCATCCCGCTTACAGTGGAGCCCCACCGTTCTAAGAACTCCTCACGAGGGGTCATTAACTGTTTCGATTTGAGGGGAGTGAGCGACGAGGATATTGCGGACGGGCTCGCCGATTTCGGCGTGACAGCGGCTCGCCGCATCATGACGAAGAGAGGCACGGTCTCGACCAACAACATCATTCTGACATTTGACTCTACCGACTTGCCGAGTGAGATTCGCGTGGGCTACGTGAAGGTTCGCGTGCGGCCTTTCGTCCCAGCGCCCATGCGCTGCTTCCGCTGCCAACGTTTCGGCCACACAAAGGACAACTGCCGAGGAAGACCCACGTGCTCCAAGTGTGCTTCGCAGGACCACACTGACGAAACCTGTGACTCGGAGACCCCCCGATGCGTCAACTGCGGAGAGGGGCAGACGCCGCACTCCGCGTATGATAGGTCTTGCCCTGCATACGTCAAGGAGAAAGAGATCATGACCATCAAGGCTACCAGAAATCTGTCTTTCAAAGAGGCCCGGGAGGTGTACAACCAGAGTCACCCGAAGACCTCGTATGCCCAGAAGGTGAGAGTCACAAACTCTACCGATGCCTCCCAGATGAGCGTAGCACAGCTCGTGCAGCTTCTCAAACGATTCGGCCTCACCGTCGTAGCCACTGGTGACTCAGCGGACAACACGGCGCCTCGTGCGCCGCCGAGCAACACAGAGCAGGCTGCTCAAGAGTCAGTGTGGGGTCCACCCAGTCCCGCTCCAGCCGCGAACGGTAATGGAGACGATTGGACCGTCGTCCAGCGCCGACAGGGTGGTCGGCGCCCCCCGGCGCAGGGTAAGGCGCCACCCACCCCGCCCCGCCCCCGACCGTCTACGGCGGTGCAGGAGGCTCTGCGGCGGGGGGAGGAGGAGAGAAGGGCACGTGAGGCGAGGAGGGCTCGCCTCGTCCAGAAGGCCCTCGAGGCTAAGGAAGCCTCGTCTGCCGACTCCGCCTCCGGGAGTGCCAATGCGGCTGTCGCCGCTGACACCCCGGAGACACCTGAGGCGGGGACTCGGCCCATCATGGGTCCCCCGCCGCCTCCTCCACCTCCGCAGCGGCGGCCACCACCGCCGCTGCCAGAGACGCCTGTGTCGAGGACACAGGCCGCCGCCTCGACATCCCCGTCGGGGCGGCAACAGCCCTCCGCGGCTCCAGGGCGCCTCGCCAAGCGGCAGACGCCCCCGAGCTGGTCACCTTCGGAGGGCGACGCCCCCCGGTCGAAAAGGCCCCAGCCGGGCCCGAGCCATGCCCGATCTGCCTCTGCTGAAGGGAGGCTTCACCGAGAGGGCTCAGGGCACCCCCGTATCCGCTACGGGGGGAGCGCCTCCTCGGAGTTAGAGGACCTAGTCTAGTCTTTCAGTCTAGTCATTTCCTCTTTTATCCTTTTATCTTTTTCGCGCTATTGCGGTTTTTTACCAGGTGCATTTCTCTCGGTGCTTTTTACCTTTTTTGTGGTCAGTCAGGTATCTGTGTGCGCCTTTGCCTCATGTTATACGCGCCCTTTTTGCGCCTTTTTAACCACGCCTTTTATTCTACAGTGGAACTGTAGAGGCCTCCGGGCCAACTACCAGGACCTACAGTCTCTTATCCGTTGGCGCACACCCCTTGTTTTAGGTCTCCAGGAGACCAAGCTAGCGCCAAACGTTACCTTTGCCATCAAGGGCTACTCTGTTTTTAGAAGAGACCTGGACACCCCTACCATTGCCCATGGAGGTGTGCTTCTGGCGGTTCACCACAGCGTACCTGCTCGCCAGGTGCCGCTGCAGACTCCCCTGCAGGCGGTGGCCGCCAGAGTTGATTTCAACCACCGGGAACTGACAGTGTGCTCTTTATACCTACCACCAGGTATAGCGCTCCCGGTGGTTGAGCTGCATCGGCTTGTCGATGAGCTTCCACCTCCGGTCCTGGTAGTCGGCGATTTTAATGCCCATAGCCTGGCGTGGGGATGCGACACGACTGGCACTCGTGGTCGACTTTTAGAATCTTTTATCCGCGATGAGGCGCTGTGTATTTTAAATACAGGACAGCGCACCCATTTTACAACACCCTCCGGTCAAACATCGGCTCTGGACCTGAGCTTAGTCAGTCCGCGGCTAGCTCAGCTTCTTACCTGGTCCGTCCATGACGACCCACTCGGGAGCGACCACTTCCCAGTGTGGCTGGAGCACCAGGAGTCCCCAGTGTCAGGCAACCGTCCACCTAGGTGGAATGTTCGGAAGGCCGACTGGGGCGAATTCCAGGCCGCCGTAGAGGCCACGGTTTTATCCAGAGCCGACGCCTCTGTGATGTCTACAGATGATTTTACATGTTTACTCATTGACTCCGCAAACGGGTGCATACCCAAGACGTCGAGTCAGCCTCGTCGTCCTCCGGTCCCGTGGTGGACCAAGGAATGCGGAGATGCGATTCGTGCCAGGAAGCGCGCTTTTAGAAAGTTTGACCGGAGTAGTACTACTGAGAACCTCATCGCTTTTAAGAAAGCGCGGGCTTTTGCCCGTCGCGTTTTAAAAGAGGCAAAGGCTGTTTCATGGCGCACGTACGTGAGTTCCTTAAACCGTTTTACTCCTACGACCCAGATATGGGCACGCATGAAGCGCATTGAAGGCCGGTTCAGCTCTGTTCCGCTTCCGGTTTTAAGAGTGAACAACACGGACATATCCCACCCTTTACACGTCGCAGAGACGATAGGCCGTGCACTCTATCAGCGCTGCCGAGGAGAGCCGTCCTCACGACCTGCACCAGCCGCCGTGGACTTCAGCACAGCTGAAAATTCGATGTACAATGAGCCTTTCTCTATGGCTGAGCTCACGTCTGCCATCAGCTCGTTGCGCAGCGTCTCAGAAGGTCCGGATGCTGTCCACAACGACATGCTCCGTCATCTCCCAGCAGTTG